ACAGATATGGTCACAGCAGTATAAACACTAAATTGTGATCTGACCAAAAGTTAAACCATAACTCATGAAGATTCTGGAAGAAGTCTGCATACCTGAAGGATGGACAGCGTGTGCTGGGGAGAAGACAGTTTTATGAAAGAGCTAAAGTCTCCTGTCTGTTCGTAGGAGGTTTTTCATTTGTTTGTCGGTTGGTACTGGGGACTCAACCCAAGGCGTTCACACTGAACTATAACCCCAGCCCTTTTTTTTTCTTTTGAGACAGAACTGCACTAAGTAACTAAGATGCCCAGGCTGGGCTCGAACTTCCGATCCTCTTGCCTTAGAGCTGAGGGCTAAGATTACAAGCATCCACCACTTTGTGGCAGTTAATCTTAGCTGTCAAGCTGACTGGATCAGAAGGCTCCTGGAGAGGTGGCTGGATCATGGTGGCACTGCATCCTCCATGGCTTAACCCCCTGATGTTCACAGCTGAACGTGCTGTCCAATGGCAGGACCGGAGGAGGTGGCGGGTCCCTGGGCTGAGAGGTGCCCTCGTGGGGTACAGCTCTCAATGCGCTCCCCAACCTGCTCTGCTTCCAGGCTGCTACAAGCTAAGCAGTTTCGCTCAGCAAACCCTTCGCTCATGGTGTCTCTGGACTGTAGCCAGCTAACCATGGACAGAGCTCTGAAACCGTGAGCAAATCTCTCCTTCCTCTACATTTCAAAGGCCAGGCATTTCCCCAGCAAAAGGAAACCTAGCACAGAAGCTAAAATAACCAGACCTAAAACACTTTAAAAGCAGTGCAAGTGCCTTATGTACTAATACGATGATTAATTATCAGAAGAAAGTGCTGCGAGAGTGGAAAGGAGCTGCTCGTGGGAACAGAAGCACGGATCCGGTGAAGGGCTGGGTAAGGAACTGTTTGTGAGTTTTGCTTGTGAGATATTACATGGCTCATTCTGCATAATGTAATTTAAGACCTAATTCAAAAATTAGCAAATGCATTAAAATTTCTCACTGATGGATTCACTATATTCCTATCAATAATTACACCTAACAATAGGTGTAATTCCTATTGTTATAGATAGATACAGGTGATAGATATTCCTATCAATAATTACGCCTAATGTTAAATGTGGTAGCTTAAACAAAAACTATCTGCTTAGTGGAAAATACAAAATTATTCTAAAAGGAAAACTTTTTAAGCCTTGTGCCATTCAAAAACTACTTAAAATAACGTTCTCCTCAGAAGTAATGAATTCATATATTAGTGTATTTGCTTTAAAACTCATTAAGATCATTATGACCTGTTTTTTCATGAAATATACTTGGATTCTTCCAAAAATCCTAGCGATCAGACAGTACAGAGTTCTTTAGTCTTCTACATTTTGTTTTCTCACTACAAGAACCACAGATAAAAGCCATATTTACTTTGGTATCATGATTCAATTAAATAAAACCAACAGTTCACAGACATAGGAGGCTATCTCTTCCTCCAGATGCTTTTATCTGATAACTAGACTCATTCTCTTTCTGAACTATAACCGTTTTGTGTATTTTTAACATTTCTTAGACTGTTCTTTATCATTTCTAAACATTATCTGACATTTCAAAGAAGATTAATTGCATTTAAATATCTTAGGTAAAATAATCTGGACATACAAACATATTATTAGGTTCCTTTTTCCTGTTACATCTAGAAGACACAAAGTTTTATATCTATTTATTGTGTATTTAAAATAAGTAGAAAAACTCAAGACAATTGCTGCACGAAGACTATTAGTCACGCACCTTTCGTTTCACTTGTAATAGTTTAGGCAGCTAATGGGCACACTGAAAGAAGTCCCTTCTAAATGGGGCAGACTGGAGATACGGAAGGCGGCCACAGAGCAAAGCTTCTAGCAAAGAACAGTATCTGGGCACCAGGTCCAAAAATGAAGGTTTCAGAGAGATCAAAAACAGCAGAGATGGGGACAACGATGTCCATTCACGAAATGGTTCGGCCAGCTCTCACCCAACACAGGTAGCCTTACCCGCTGCCTTGCCTCGGCTTGGGAACACACTGCATGACTTCACAGCTCTGAGAACCCCTCCAAACGCGCCCAGATATTACCACACTAGACTGTGACATGTAATTTTTATGAGTATCAAAGCAGCGAAGTCTCCACAGTGGAGAAACTAATATAGTGCATATTCAAGCTGGGACTATAGGCAATGCAGGGATGTCCTACCCTAACACGTGGCTGCAGCTTGAACGTACCATGCCTCCTTTCAATTAAAGAATGCATCACTGCAATTCTTCAGGCAAGTTTCAAAGAACAACATTGTTTTCTGGCATGAAACTGCAACAGTGGAAGAAGTTACATTGCATTGATGCCCTTTATTCAACAATGGCTGAGTGGAACGTAAAACAGGTGTAGAAAAGAGGAAAAAGGAGAGCCTGTCTGGTAAGACATGTTGGTTTAAAGCGTAACTCCATCACATACCACCTCTGCATGCTACAGAAAGTTTCTGAAACTCACGAACTTTCAGTTTTCTTATCTGTCAGAAAGGGACAGCACCACTGCATGGGTTTTTGTCAAAAGTACCTGGAACCATTAGCATCACTGACGCTGGGCTCTAGAGACAGACTCTAGGTTCAGATCTTGGCATGTGAGCTTAGACAAAGTCACTTAACTTCCTCCACCTTCAAACCCTTCATCTATGAAATAGTGATAACGAATTTACCTGATAAGGTTGTTGTGAGAATTTAACAATCCATATGTCTGCACAACACAACACTAAAGACCAAATGGCTACACAGTGGGTCATCTCGTAGACCTCTGAGCAACCTCACGAACTATGATTATGAATAAACAGGAGAGATTTCGACTTCCGCTACTTGGACAAAGCAGCATCTATATTAAATTAAGAAAGTCTGAAGCTTACTGTACTAATTCAACTAGGAATATTTTCACCCTGAAAGAGAAGCATCTTTTCTCTCACCAGCACTATGTATTATATTAGTCAAAATTGCTTAATATAGAAGGCAGTTCTACAGGAAATTAAAATTCAAAGTAGGTTAAACTTCAAATGAGATTGAATGAAAGGATTTTGAAGCAGCTCATTAATCAACGAAAGATTAAAGGAATAAGAGTAATTCAGTGCCCCAGTCACCCCTAGACTGTGCAGCTCTGTCTCCTCATAAAAAACTCCCAGGAGGCAGAGTAACTGCGATTGCATTACATGCCCACATTCTGAGATCATGGAAGTTGGGGACGATGCCTGGCAGCCCCCTCAAGACCACATGGAGCGAGTTAAAAGTGGTAGTCACGGGCTCTGTTCCCTAAGGAAACAAGGGACCAAGAGATGATGAGAAGATTAATGACAGAAAAACATGCACTGCAACCTAAGCTGAAGCCTTGACTTCACCTCTGAGACATTCTAGAAGACTCTGTAATGGAAATCATGTAGACATAGATTCAAATTACACACTATGGGTAAATCTGTAGTCAACACGTTAACTTCTTTAGATGCCAACAAGTTAGCGTCCTAAGGAAATGTTTGGCTAGAATCTTTAAAATACCTTATTTCAGAAATTATGTACATACAGAATGGTAATTGAGGTGTGGGGAAAATCTCCACCTTAGTAACTCTGCAGAAGACAGTTTTCAAAAACTAAAAACAACGATGGACATTTGTTCCTCAATAAAGGAATGAATAAAGTAAAACAGAAGCCCATTTGCATGGGCCGTGAAAAACTGTGACTATTCATACAGTGAACATAATTTTTTGAAAAACACTGTGTGCACGTCAGATTTTCAGGTGATCTTTTTCCTACACGCAAAAAACACTTCCCACTTAGTTCATGGACAGACATCCCCCAACAATATAGGTGCAACACAGGGAAGCATACAGAGTCTAGCTTAGTGAGGACAGAAGAGGCCAGCTACTTCACTTAGTAACAATTATAATAGAGTAAGAATATTATTACTTAATAGTAATAACAGCAATGTAATGGCAATGTTCATTACTTAGTAATCATGTTTTCATACTGTAACTGTTGATGATAATACTTAACAGCAGTAATGTCTATTCACACAATGGACTGCTACTGGGCAGTAAAAGGGGAATAAGCTACTGACATAAGCCATGACATGAATGCATCTCACTAACACGAGGTGAAACCCAACAGAATGTATACTCTGATTCCATGTACGTGAAGCCCCAGAACATGTAAACCTAATTAACAGCAATGAGAAAGTGGCTGCGTATGGAGCAAGGAGAACAGATTTGCAGGAGGAAGTAAGAGGCTCTCAAGTGTGATTAAAACGTTCTATGCCTTGTTTTGGATCTTGATTCCACGGATTGCCAGGAACCCATCACACTCAACCCCGTGAATTTCGTTCCATGTAAATTACATTAGAGGGAAAACGTGGCTCTGAGTGTAACTCTTCAAGGAAGAAAGGGGTTTGCCAGAATAATTTTTTTTTAATTCAAAATGAAGTATACTGTAGACCGAACAAATCCTTTAATATTTAAAATTTCCAGACACGTAAGTATTTATAGATACAGGCTTTTCCTGAGCTAAAAGGAAGGTGGCCCAACATCCCAGTTTGCTGTAGCCAGCCCAGTGCAGACTTGATACCACAGCACACCGTGATGGTGAAGCATCCTGATCTCCAAGCGGCCCTAACCGTCACTTTAGCTACAGGGACATTCACGTATTGCGTAGTACAATGCGCTCTTTCACTTCTTCCTTTCAACCCACATCTACTAAGCCCCTACAACATGGCTAAATCCAGTTCCCTTCTCGCCGCCACTTCACATTGTTTCTGAGTCTCCACAGCCAACCTACAACAGCTACCCGGATCGCCCCTAAACATGACATGTACACCTGGGAGGAACTACACATAGAAGCGATGGAAATTTTCCCTAAAAGGATGTGAGTATTAGCTTACAAAAGAGGTACTATTTTCTGATCCATAAAAAACAAAGCACATAAAGATATTCACAAATATTAAATGAAGAACATGTTTACCTGCTGCCCTGTAAAGTATTTTTGGTTCAAAAAATATACAAGGATTTTTATCCTCTATGCAGGACAGAAGTAGGCCCTTGGCCTGGAAAGGGCTTCTGGGTATCACCACCTGGAAAAATGAGAGTTTTGAAAGACAGCTTTGGTAAGAGTGCATTCCATTAAAATCTCTTATAAGCGCTGATATTTAAATACAATTATGACTAAAAATAGTAATCTGTTTACTGTAGCCTAGTCACTATTTATTATAAAATTTACATATTATCCCCCAAAATTCCTTTTGTTTAACAAGTATTTCCAAGATGACTTCCGCATTCTAAGACATTATTCTTCTCTTAAAGAGCTAAACTGTCTATAAAAAAATGTCAAAACTTATACAGAATGTATAACAAAGCCAAAAGAATTATCAATACCTGTATTTACCTATAAAGTAATTTTTTTCTACTAATACTATGCTACTACTAATCAACTTTCATCTTTGACTATACCATGCAAAATCTCCTTCCTTCCCATGAAAAAATACAAACTTCTTTTCATCTCCACTGAATTTTATGATCCACTGAATTCTGTGATCCAGGTATTATACTTTCCATATCTGGCAGAATAAAAAGAAAAGTAAGGATATTTCACACTTCTAGGTGACAAAAAAGGACTATAGGATCTTCAGTCTTTTGTTTTGGTTTTTGTACTGAGGACTGAACCAAAGGCTGTTCCAACCTACATCCTTTTTTAATCCTTCGAAATGTCCAAACTGGCCTTGAACTTAGAATGAATTGTAGGCATCTTCCACCACTTTGGGACCTTCTTGAGAATGAAGGTAAAGATGAGGAAGATGATAATAACAGCAGGAAGTGCAGATGCTAATTTAGCCGAACACTATGTAGATTAATTCATCTACTGTTCATAGTAACCTCAAGAGTCAGCTGTCATTATTTTCCCATTCTAGAAATACTGAGTTTAAGGAGATAGCAAGAAGCTTGCCCAAGATCATACTACTTGCTAGACCGGGGATTTTCACCTACTTCTGACTGATGCCAAAGCCCTTGCACTTTACTTCAATATCACATTGCAACTCATAAACTTGAGTCTAATTTTAGTGATTTGTAAAAATAATTACATGAAGACAAGTATCACTTAAAAAGGATTTTTAAAATAAGCCCGAATTTAAAACAAAGACCCAAATAAAATTCCTTGAAACAAACCACACTTGGGTTTCAAAGTCAATTTATGCTATTTTCACTGAAAGAATTTAAAAAATAAAACAGGCTGGGCGTGGTGGCACACACCTGTAATCCCAACACTCAGGAGGCTGAGGCAGGAGAATCATTGCGAGTTCAAGACCAGCCTGGACAACAAGGTCAGCTCAAAGCCAGCCTGCACTGCATAGTGAGACCCTGTCTCAAAAAGAAAAACTAAAAATAAAAATAAAATTGCTGCACAAATCTATTGCACCTTCTGTAAATGAACTTGTGAACACATTATAACCATGTCAGTGTCTTCATTTTATGTTCCTACTTTTTAAGTTTCTTTTCATCTGTGACATGTTTTTATTTTTAGCCTTTTTTTGTGTGTGTGCTGGGAATTGAACTCAGGACCTTGCACTTACTAGACAGGCTCTTGTGCCGCTGAGCTACATCCCCAGCCCCTAGCCTTTTTACTTTATGTATATATTATTTTCACCTGAGGTGAAAAAATAAGAGACAGCAGAAGGAATAAAGGAAGGGAAAGAAAAGGTAGGGGACTGGGAGAAAAGATCTGTTGCATCTGCATCAACATTCAGCTCAAATACAAAATACAAAAGTAACTACAGTGTTACTTCAAATATAGCTTCTAGTCCCAACCTCTACTCAACTGGAAAAAAAAAAAGCCTATGACATTGATCTCACAGAAAAGGAAGAGAAGGTAGGGAATGATAAATACATGTTCACAACTGACTGGTACTGTCAGAAACAAATATACATCTCTAGACTGACATATCTGTGAGTTTCCATAAGGATTCCCCAGAACACTTTTCAGTAAAGAGAAACAGAAAGGATGAGAGTGTAAAATACTAAGACACAAAACTCAACCACACACAATGGAGTGCTGCTGCGCCTTAAAGAAAGACAAACCTGAGTCACCTGTAGGACAATGGATGCCCCTTGGGACCAAAACGTTAGGTGAAATACATCAGACACACAAGCTTATATGAGAAATGCAAATTTTAAACGAAGGGCAAAATAAAGGACAGATGACAGGAAATAGGGAGACGGATCTTTCTCAAAGGGGAAGGGGATCCAAATCAGAGAGAGCGGGGAGGGAAGGCGAATGAAGAGGAATTCAGATGTTATGGTGGTCAGGGTTTGCGAGGAAAGAGATTTAATACAGGACACATAATTTTTGGGATTATTTTATAACATTCACCCGAAAAGTCAAATGCAGAGGAGTGCAAGAGATCTGTCCTCGTGCTAGAGCCCCGAAGGACCCAGCTGAGGGCCTGGATCCCACGGCAATGGCCTCCACGAGGCCAGCTGGAGGCTGAGGGCCCACAGCACTGTCTCACGCAAGTCCGAGTCAAGGCTCAGCCCTGGGAAGGGCCTTGGGCCCGTGGTGGCTGCTAGAAAGTCTGTGCTGGCCGGGTGACAGGTCCGTGCTGAAGGCCGAGGGAGCTGCGCTGGAGCCAGGAAGCAGCGCTCAGGCAAAGACCAGAGCTCCCTGGAAGGCAACAGCAGCCACCCCGAGCGACGGTGAGGACCTGCGCTCCGATCAGGAGAACCAGCCGCAACGCTGCTTCTCCGGGAAGCCAGCAGCACGCAACCCCCTCCCGATCTCCTGTACCCTCGGCAACAGTCCTCAGGTGGGTCTTCCACGCCCAGAACCACGCTGACTCAGTTCGGCCTGGTGTCCTCACTCAAGCTGACCGTTAGTGAATCCACCACAGGTGTGTTACGGCCATATCCCAACTCCACACAAAGGATGGACACATGACATTCTGCAAACATGTACTACTAATAAAAGACCTAAGCCATTGTGGAGGCCGCCCATCGTAAGGTCAGGCTTCACAGTCAACTGTGTGAACAAGCACTACCTTACTCTAGACTGGGAAAAAACACAGCTAGTCAGCCACCGTCATGCTGTCTATTTAAAAAGTAAGCAGAGGACTAAAAGCAAAAATCCTGTCCCTTTGACTTTGACGTAACTATGGTCTAAACAGTAGACACTGTGTGTGTGTGTGTGTGTGTGTGTGTGTGTGTGTCTTTTTGACACAGGGTCTCACTACAGTTCAGGCTGGCCTTGAGCTCACTTTGTAGTTGAGGCTGGCCTCAAACTTGCAAGGATCCTCCTGCCTCAGCCTCCCGTGTGTTGGGATTACAGGCGTGCACCATCACGCCCAGCTTCTAAACAATAGATTTTTAAAAATCATGTCAGAATCAGTTAAGTGAGAAAAAGTTAGAAAGACACAATTTTGAAGGAGGTGGGAGGTAAGCTAACTATGCTCTCAGTCATCCACTTTGAGGTCTGTGAAGTTACTACTGTCCATGTCAAGCCCGCGCTGCAGCAAGACCATTCCGTAAAAGCCGGCCTGCAACAGCTGACTTAAAGGAAAGCCAACCTCTCTTCCTTAAATATCTTTAAGTTCACACAAATTCAAAGCCTCCTGCTTGTTTTCCTCCAGATAAGCATATTAGCACAGTTACTATTCACAGAACCCACCAAAACAGCAATATTAAATGAAGAGCAATGAAATCTATCAATGAGAATACCTTGATCCCGGGGCAATGCGCGAAGAAAGCTTCGGGACACTGAGAATGATAGAGAGCCCCGTGACCAACGCAGCCCCACGGGGACCTGATCGTGAGGCTTCCGCAGTTAAAAAGGTCCCCGGAGCGGTAGCGATACTTGGCAGCTTCATTGACGATCTGCGAGGAGAGAGGGACAGGTCACAACGGGGCCGTGCTCCCAATGCGTTTCCTGCAGTCACACCGTTAGAAACCCTACCGACCACAGTACGTGTAAGATGGGGGATGGGAGGCTGGCGGCAACACTTCAGTATTCCAGGGACTTCGCCTTTCGGGAGATTGCTCACAGTAAATACAATGCACTTACTTGATCGAAAGCAGGGAAAATATAATCTGCAAACTGAATCTCAGCAATGGCAGTAGCACCAGTGACTGCAATTCCGATTCCAAATCCAACAATTCCTTGTTCACACAATGGAGTATTAAAAACTCTATCTTTTCCTTAAAAAGAAGAAAGAAAATAAACTTAATATGCCAAATGAGAGTAATGTCATGCACAGAACACCTGAAAATTTAGTAAATTAATAATGGTGGGAAGGGAAAAAATAGAAGAGGCAGTAGATAATAAGTAGTAATGATGGGTGATTTAAATGTAGACAGTAATTATATTAACTGTAAATAATCTCTATGTTCCAATTCAAAGAAAAACAGATGGAATTAAAGAAAGCAAAATCCAATTAAAGAAAGCAAAATCAAAGCAAAGGTTCTTTTAACTACTTAAAAGAGAACATAATGCACAAGACCCTGGATTCAACCAGCAGGAGAGAGAGACACAGAGACAGAGACAGAGAGAGCGAGCGAGAGAGCAAGTGAGAGAGAGACAGAGAGATCGAGCGAGTGAGCGAGAGACAGAGCAAGAGGGAGAGAGAGGGAGAGAAAGCGAGAGAGCGAGTGAGAGCGTGAAAGATGGAGAGAGAGGGAGAGAGAGCAAGAGAGAGGGAGAGAGAGAGAGAAAGAGAGAGAGAGAAAGGAAGGAAAGAAGGAAGGAGAGGAAAGGAGGGAGGGAGGGAGGGAACAAGAGAGAAAAAGAAAAAGATAAAAATAACCAAAAGAAAGCAGGTGTCACTTTGCCAGCACCAAACAAAGCCCCCTTTAAGGGAAAAGGCGTTACCAAAGATTTAAAAAGAAAAATTCATACCCTTCAAAGGATTTCATTCACAAGAACACAAAATTCCTAAACTTAAACTCATCTGACAATGGACTTCAAACAAATAAGGAAATATAACGCAACACAAAAGACAAATGGACAGATCCACAATGTACTGCGAGCCTTCTGGCCTACTAGTTTTCATGGACAGAAAAAGCAAAGGTTAAAAACACGCAAGATCAGCACACAATTAACAAGCACGACCTATTTCACACACACAGGCCACTGCACCCACCAGCTAAGCGGTCAAGTCCTCTTACAGCAAATGGATAATGCGGACATTGGTGGACCATATACTGGACCATAAGCACAACCTCAACAACTTCTAAAGAAGTAAAATCTTTTTGTTAGGAGTTCATGTTTTTGGTACATATTTACGTTTTCTGTGGAACTGGTACATGTATGTGACACGTCTCAGTGCTGTCCTTCAGCCCCTGTCCTTCCGGTCCCTTCCGACTCCCTGCATTTCTTGATTCCCTTTATCATTTGAGAAAGATCTTTCACCTTACTTCCTCTTAGCTTTTACTTTGCTCTTTATTTGTAATTTGCATCTCTCATTTCAGAGAAACTATGCAATATTTAAGCTCGTGTGTTCAACTGATTTCGCTTAAAGTTATGGTCTCAAGGTGCAGCCATTTTCCTACAAATGAAGTTTATCTTTCCTTATGGCAGGGTAGTACTCCACTGTGTGTGAAGACCACATCTTCACCGATTAATGTTCGGACAGACATATCTCACTGAATAGATTCTCTGACCACGGTGGAATTCAGCTAAAAGTCAGTGACCAAAAGATAATTAGAAAGCCTTTATACTATAAAGTTTTAGAAGTACGTATCTAAATAACACACGACTCAAACAAATTAGATTAATGGAAATTAGAAAGCTTTTAAATAGAATGATAATTAAAAACTATATATCCCAAATTGTTGAGATTTTAAAGATAATGGCACAATTGCCTCTTTCAGGCTAACCCTCGCACATTTAAAGATTATAAATTCTGGGCAAACTATAACAACTATTTAAAGACATAGGAAGGCCAAAATTAAGCATAAATGGAGACTTGACCCTCAAAAGAAGGGACACAAGTAGATGAGCAGGGCAGTTACAAGCCTTGTCCGAAGGGAGCTCTCAGTGGATGTGCTGGAGAAGGTTGCGATTCACACGGTAAGTCTCAGTTTTCATGCGCTGTCCAAGAATTGCGCCAGTGAGCGGACACTGAGGAGGTAAACCCTTTATAGAAGGGCACCACACGGGGACATCCAAAATCTGTGCAGAAACTGCTCTAACGCTCATTAACCTCGGTACCTATAGGATGCTCCAAATACTCAATAGAGAAATAACCTGGAAGAGCTGAGGAGAAATGTCAGCTCTTACTGTGCCTTCCAAATAGGAAACAGAATTTAGAGTCTGAGATTTTTTAAATTAAAGGAGTCTGACGAAGCCCTCAAGCTTTCCACTCAAACCACAACTTTACTTACATTATCACCAGATTCTCACTTGAGAATCTATCGCCTCTCAGCTAATATCTGCATGTCATGACACAATCCAACTTCAGTGGCAAAAGACGGCCACTGGCTGGCCAAGGAACCAAATGTTTTTGGACAGTTCTGATAATCATGTTTTTATTTCTATAACCAGGGATACCAGTTCTTCTTGGTATATTCAATTTACTATCAGCTCAATCCTTCCCTTTAAATACGAACTGTAAATAGGGAAGGTGCTGAGAAATGCAGACTAGACATATCCTATAGCTTCCAACTCTAAACACAGCTGCAAAAACTTAAAAGCATGATTCATACTCATAGTGATCTTTGACCACCCCTCCAAGCATGACCGCTACTCCTCATCAGTTCCCTATTTAACTGCAAGTAGCTGATAACTTAGTTTTTTTTACTTTTTTGTTTTTTATTTTTTTGTACTGGGAGTGGAACTCACGACCTTGCACTTGCCAGGCAGACGCTGTGCCGCTGAGCTGTATCCTCAGTGCTGATTGTTATTCTGAAAATCTGATTCCACTGAAGTAAGGACAATTTCAATGGTAGAACATAAATTCTAGCTGCTTCCACTAGAATCCACATCCCTGAAATGCCTGAGCCATTTCACCATATGCAGCATTATTTATTCCTTGGTGCTTCAAGTTCACGATTCAGGTTCTTTTTCATCTTGCAAAGAAAATATACCTTTTGCCATTAAAAGGCAAAACAGTTCATTTTCTTAGAACTCGCCTACTAGGACAGACAGTTTAACAAGTCCTTTTGACATATTTAATGATGTAACCGAAGTGCCTGAACATGAACTATATATTAAAAACCTGTTCCTTTTTTGTCAAATATTGAGGGTAAGAACACTAATAAAACACACAGTATTGATGACAATATTCATGTTGTAACACAATTAACTCAATGTAAAGTTCATGTACAACGTGTCCTGGGAGATGACTGGTAAATAGAATACCTGAACTACGAGGTAAGTCAGACCAGGACTTAGGTGTCATCTCTACAAAATATTAAACTCCCTAAACCTCCACTTCTTCATAGAAAAATCATGATGCTGAAAGACTAAAATAATTTATACATTTATTTAACAAATGTTTGTAACATACTTAACATTATATTAGTACTTTTCTGCACGCTAGGGAACAGAGTCACAACTAGAACAAAACAGATTTGTATCCTAGTGAAGTTTAAATTCTAGTCAAGGGAAATTATCAAGAAAAACAAAACTAAGGAAAAATATATATATAATGTAGTTACAACAATAAGTGCTATGGAGAAGAACAAAGCAAGGGATGGGGAGTTGGAGGTGGGTTGGGGCTACTGTATAATTTTAAGGCGATCATTTCCCTCATCCCAGTTGTTCTTTCCTTTTGAGCAGTTTAAGGAAGG